TTTTCTCTCTTCTCTCTTTCCTTAATTGAAGTCGTATAAATGGTAATGGTTTTGGAGACGAGAGTTTTGGGAATCATGATTACAATTTCATTGGGATTGGATTTTTAATCATTGATGTGCTTCAAGTTCATTCTTGAGTTGTTGTGGTGAGTTTCAAATCGGGTTAGTTTGGAAGGGTTTGAAATCATTTCCCCAAATGCTACCTGAAATCCTTCTGAGTTTAACCCCTTTGAATAAGTAGCTGACCTGAAAACCTTCTCTATATTCTTCTTTTTCCCCCCATTATTGCAAAATTTCCTTTTTCTTTTCTTTTTGGGTAGCCACTGACTTATTGGGGACCATCCTGATAATTATTTTGAATTTTGTAATGGCATGATTATACATTAATTTGAGTTCTAATATTCACATAAATAATTGAGAGATAAAAAGTAGAAAGATAAAGAGAGAACTAACTGAATCACCATTTATCTCCACAGTTGCAGAAAACGGATGAGGATCAAAGCACAAACTACCCATCTGCCTCTGAGTTCGGGGATGACTGTTTTGCCGTTGGTGCCTGGGAGCAGAAGGAGATTACGAGCCGTGATGGGCGCATGAAGATCCAAACCGAGGTCTTTTTCGCCTCCATTGACCAAAGAAGCGAACGAGCTGCTGGGGAAAGCGCGTGCACTGCCCTCGTGGCAGTTATAGCAGACTGGCTTCAGAACAACCCGAACCTCATGCCTATAAAGTCCCAGTTCGACACTTTAATCCGGGATGGCTCCTTAGAGTGGAGAAACCTTTGTGAAATTGAAACCTACCGGGCCCGTTTTCCGGATGGGCATTTCGATCTCGAGACTGTCCTCCATGCCGAGAAAATTCGCGAGCTTTGTGTCGTCCCGGAAAAATCGTTCGTTGGCTTTTTCCATCCGGAGGGGATAGAGGAGGGCAGTTTCGACTTTTTGCATGGGGCCATGTCGTTTGACAATATTTGGGACGAGATAATGTCCCTGGAGGAGGGCGCGGAGTGTGGCCCAGTTTTCATCGTGAGCTGGAATGATCACTTTTTTGTGCTCAAAATCGAGAGCGACGCTTGCTATATAATTGACACTTTGGGCGAGCGGCTGCACGAGGGCTGCTATCAGGCATACATACTGAAGTTCGATAGAGACACGAGCATCCGCAGGCTGCCGCCAGGTGGCGACCAGCCATTGGAGGAGAAAAAACCTGTTGTTCCAGATTTAAACGAGCCCACTTTGGTCAAAGAGGAGCCCGAGCCATTGAAGGATGAAAATGAGGAGCTCGTTTGCCGAGGTAAAGAGTGTTGCAAAGAGTACATAAAGAGTTTCTTGGCAGCAATCCCGATTAGGGAGCTGCAGGCAGATATCAAGAAAGGGCTGAAAACGTCAACTCCGCTTTATCAGCGCCTGCAGATCGAGTTTCACTTCACGAGGTTGAGGGAAAGGGAATGCGTGTCGTCCCCCGAGGTTGAGGAAATGCCGAAAATGCCCCTGGCGGTTGATGTTGTTGCTGCCATGGAAGCCGAAGTTTCCATCTAAGGGAGTGCTGTGCTGCTAACTGGTTTTTATGTATATTTGATGAGTAGTGTGATTTTTTAGCTTTAACTTGATCTCTATCCCGTTTATATACTTGACGCGTTAGTTTTTTGTCGTGAATCGGGTGCAAAAATAAGCTCCCTGGTTCGTTCATCTTTTGTTGAGATCTTTGTTCGGGGAGTGTGTGTGTTGCTCTCAGTTATGTGTCTAGAGTTTAAGAACTGAGATGGTGTTTGTCGATCGATCACCGTGTATGACCTGTGACATGGCTTTTTTGGTACGTAATTCGTGTAATAACCTAATTTCTCGTTTATCTTTCAGTTTTTTGTTCATTTCGTAACCAACACTGCAGTTATAGTTCAATTTGCCATCAGCTTTTGTTGAGTTTTGAAATGTCATGCTCTATGATTGCCAGTTTCCGTAGGGAGAAAATTTCATTATCACTTACCATGTTTTTAGTTTTTACATTACTATATAGCTTGTGTATTAGGTCTTGAGGTTAACTTTTTCTCAAAGGACATTCTTTGTCAGAACTAATGCATTTAGAGTGAAGACATAATGTTAATCATTGGACTCAGGCTACACAGAACTTGGATAAAGTTCGAAGTGCCTTTTCCCGGCTTCTTACCGTTCGATCACACACACACACACCCGCATGGGTGTGCATCGATTCAACGTTGTCACCTTCATTCTCAATGTCATTTCCAGCCAACTCCTGCAACCAAATTCTTCATAACTATACACCACAAACACACACACACACACACACACACACACACACACACACACACACACACACACAAATCATAGCTATCCGCAAACCGAGCACTTAACCAGCCCGTTCTCGTTGCACTCTACGCACCTCACGGGCTCCCCCCCGGTGGGCCCCACCTTTCGGCTCCCGTTGCACCCGACACACAATACGAACCTCATCCCTCCGCAAACCGAGCACGGGCCTCCCCCCAATGGACCCATCGGTGGGATACCCCTCAGCAGGCCCATTAGGGCACCCTTCTCGTGTAGGCCCACGACCTCGTCTGCCCCGCCCACGTACCTCCCCCGGACGAAGAGCCTTGGGGGGACCGTGCGGGCCCCCATGACACCCCACAGCTCGTTCCTGTATTCGAGGTGCATCGACACGTCCCTCTCGGAGTACGCCACCCGGAGGCTCTCGAGAAGGAAGCGGACCGCGTTGCAGTCCTCGAACGTCTTCCGGATGCCCCTGAGGCTCGTCGTGTAGAGGACGAGCTTGTCTTTTCCTCCCGGGGGGCATTTGTACTCTTTGAACTTGATTAGCTCGTGCGGGAGATTAATGCGCTTGTCGTCTCGATCTTTCGATGACGTGTCGGTTGTTTCGAGGCGCGGGCCAAGCTCGAAATTTGGGAGTTTCTCCTCGTGGGCTTCCACATTTTCCATTTTGACTTGTTTGGTGTTGGGATGGGCTTCCTGTGAGGTCAGTTTTTCGTCGGCTAGTGAGGCGGGCTCGGGATTGTTTGTTTTTCGATCGGGATTTGAGGTTTGGAGGGTTTGAGTTTGAGGGTTGCAAGTGGGAGTTGGGATGGGCTTGAGTTTCTTGAGGAGATTGCCTGTCTTTGTTTTCATTTTTTTTTTTTTTTTGCTAACTAAGGCTCTGCAGATGGAAAATTTTGAAGGATGGGGAAAGGGATAAGTGGAAGAATGTGTTTAGGATGCAAAGAGGTTGATATTTGGAAACTAGCTAGCTAGCTAGCTAGTGTTTAGAATGTGATTGTTGGTTGCTTTTTTTTTTTCTTCGAGTTTGTTATGCATTATGAAGTTGTGAGTGAGGGTGCTTTTTAGGCCGTTGATGGGATGTTTTGGTCGAGTAGCCCATCAATCAATGAGAACGAGCCACGTCAGCACTGTGGAGGGCGTATTGGTAAATTTTGATCGAGAAAAGGAAACAAGTGGAAGTAGAATTAAGAACGACAATGGCTGATACGACATGAAAAACGAACACGACACAATACGATTAAAGAATATGATTATAGAGACAAATCGACATGATGGACACGACAAGACACGACTAAAATCACGATGCAGAAAATACGAAATACAAATTTTAGTTAAATTTAGACTTCAATATTTATAATCAGATAAAATTGATAACATGAATTCAGGACTAGGATGAATAATATACGATAATACAGACTTTCTAGAAAGTGATTTGTAAATGGAAGCTTATAATCGATTAATTTGATAGACTTGTTTTTGTAAGGTTCACAAAAATGTTCTATCTATATGAAAATCTCAAACTAGATGTAGAATTGAGAAATTATATATAGCTAATTACTTAGTACCCATCCTCTTCTTTCAATTCTAACAAATTGAAGCATAACCAATTTCAAAGTAAAAACCCAACATTTGTCAACTCTAATACATACTTTTATCAAGAAACTTGTGAATCAATCAAAATTCAATACTCTAAAACGTAGTTATGTCTTGATAAAAGTTGAGAATTACTTTTTTGCCTTAAATTATTGCATGAGATGATAGTGGCATTGATAGTGGGAACGAGGGGCAAAGGGGCCATGAGTTCATGATTCAACCACAAGGAAGCAAAAGTTAAGCAACTTTCATTTTTTTTTTTTTTTTTTTTTTCCTTTCGCAATGACTTTTGTGGATATAAAGTTGTTTTTGTGATTGAAACTTTTTTGGTACAAGCCATGAGCCTTGTCTCACAGTTATTTTATTTTATTATTTTTTTTTTTGTGTTTCGTCTCTAGTCTACCTCAACTTGTTTGGGACTAAAAAACTTTGTTGTTGTTGTTGTATTTTTTCAAGCTACACCAAGCACTCAAAAGAGAACCCTTTCGAGACTTGTAATATGAGCGTATGAGAAAATAAAATATGAGATGTGGCTTGCATATTATTGTGCAATAATATGAGCCGGAAAAAATCATCACTGTCACCGGTATGTGTGAGTCACACGCGCCGGAACCTTTGTCCGGTGCGTGAGGACCACCACAACCTCCGTTCGTCGACCTTTTTCAGTCGCCAACTTCTATCAACGATATTCTGGTATGATCAGTTTTGGTATTCGTGGCCTTTTTAATTTCTGCACTTATTGATTTTTAGACTGATTTGTGATCCGATTCGTACGTTGATTTCATATGTTTCGTGAAATTGTGTTGATTTGTTTTTGTTTATGGATCATATGGATGTATAATCTCCTATTAATGTTGTCTTATTAAAAGATAAAGTATAGTATTTGGCACAGTCTATAAAAAAAGTTTTCTTAATTCGGAGAAAATTGTGGAGAATTGTGACAGGTGATGTATTGCCACATGTGCATCCGTTTCGTACTGGGGATACCAACCCCATCCCACAGGCTCTTACGACATACATCGATAAGTTAGAGGATTGGAATAGTAAGAACCATCAAATTTTTACTTAGTTACGTAACACTTCAGTCTTTACTATTCAAGTGCAGCTTGTCCCATTTGATGGTGTGAAGGAAGCTTGGGATTTTTTGGCTGCTCGGTTTTAGAATACGGGTTTGGCTAACTATTATCAGATTTGGCGCACCTTTCATTATACCAAGCAACAACCGGGTCAATCGGTCAATGAGTTTCTTGCATAAGTACAATATATCCCGTATCGGGTGAGATTAGTCCAAACCATCTTGATCTTATTCACATTTTTATGGCTCTTCGTCTTGAGTACGAGGCTATTCGTGATTCTCTCTTGTATAATCATTCTCTGCCTACTCTTGATGTTGCTATTCAAGAGATCACTTTTGAAGAGATTCATCTTCAGTTGGACAAGACACCATAACTTGATTCTGTATTAGTTGTGCCTACTTCTGCTTCCGCTTTGCCACATCAGTCTTAGCCGTCAATCTCTGGAAAATGTAGGATTTGCAAGAGCTTTGGGGACACTTATATCACTTGTCCTAAATTATAGTGCCACAGCTGCCATGCTCGGGGCCATATTGCTCCAAAATTTTCAACCAAATCACAACGTTTGGGAGATTCATCTTCCCCGATATGAGGGTTTCGTGGATATTCATCAACTGTCACTTCTTCTGTTACAACGGTTGTCACTAATAAGCCTCAACGCTTGTCTTACACTCTTCAAGACATAAAAAACTATTCTCAAACAGTTTATCCGTTCCAATTTGTTATGTCTAATACCGCAGGTAAACCTCATTGATATTTTGATTCTGGTTTTTGCAATCACATGACCTCTAGTTTACAGTTTTTGTTTTTCTCGTCTTTCGTAACTTCTTTACCTCATACGCATACTGTCAATGGCACTCATGTGAATATTACTCACTCTGGTCTGGTTTCTTCCCCTTCCTTGCATCTTCTGGACACATATTGCATTTCTAACTTGACCTTGAATCTTATTTATGTTGGTCAATTGGTTGAACGAGGGCGTAATGTTACATTTTCATCTTATGGTGTTCAAGTTCAAGATTTACAGACGGGACGAGTCGCAAGGCGGTCGGTTATTTGAACTTGAGCCCCTTCATGCTCCTCGCTCTTACTCCTTTTCCGATGTTATCACCAATAGTAAGTCCACGTTCTAGTGACATATTCGTCTTAGGCATGCGTCATTAAATAAAGTTCGTTTTTATATAATAAATATCTTTTAGATTTAGGTCATTTTAAGTCTTTCAGTTGTCTTCACTGTAAATTTGGGAAACTGCCGTTCTTTTTTTTTTCTGAAAATTTAACTAACTTGATGAAAATTTCATTCGAAAACTTAATTTTTGGCCAGAAATTTAATTATACGCATGACATGACAATTTTTACATTGTATAATTCATATTTTCAGAAAAATAACCTTCAAATTAACATTGAGTAATTAAATTACATTCCTTACATGTCAGAGTTACGAGTCTTACTTTTATAATATTCTCTTTTAAACTATATCTACCTAATGTTTGGTACAAATTAAATTTAAAACAAAGGAGAATTATGATAATTATGTGAGCAACCAAATTATATGTGGGGCAGTTCAATATATTAACGTTGTGGCCTTGGATGCTCTCGACCAAACTGAAGTCAAAAACAAGAAGAAAGACATGTTTGGTTCATTGATAATAAGTCTCACCCACTAAACATCATTTCTTGATATAAAAATCAAGTCAAATTCAACAAGTATTCCCCTTATCCCTTTTTCTTGTTTAATTATGAAAAACAAATCAAATAAGTCTACTCTCTCTTAAAATTACAAAATCCACTGGGAGAAACCAAAGTAAATAGAGTTGTTAAACGAAAAGAGCCTCTCGTGAGCTCGGTTCGACTCGTTAATGTCCATGTTCGGCTCAAACGGATTGAGCTCAAGCTCATTGAAAACTCGTTTAATTAACTAATCAAACTCTACTCGACTCGACTCGTTAAGATTCAAAAAGTAGAATTTTTATATAATTTTTTATGGTTAGCCACATTAGGTCTCGAGTTTGACCCGTTAATCTTCGAACTTGACTTGTGAATAAGGATAAACAAGTTCAAGGTGAGTTCGATTACTAGCTCGTTTAGTTAGCTAGGTAGTTTACACCATAGAAATTGCACCAAACATTCACTTTGAAGTTAATATTTATGCACCGTTTTTTAGGTTAAAGAAACATAAATTGGACCATGTACAAATGCTTCTTTATCTTTCTCTATAAAGTGCTTGCAAAATGAGAAGATTTTTGTAACTTCTCAAATGTACTTTTGAATGTATAAGTCCATTTAGATAATAATATTCATATTTGGTGTCAAATTAAAGATTTACTCATGGATAAGTTGTTTCTAATAAATTCCATATTACAGTTAATTTTTGTATTTCCCCACATATTGTGCCTTATTTTTTTTCCCAAAACGATAGATAATATTATAAATCAAAATGCACAAATGTGCGAATACACAACAGTCAACGGCTGAAAACACAGAAGCCAACAACCGAAAAGTGTGAGGACAAGTCGGAAGACCGCCTAGAATCTCGACTAGCAACGCTAGAATAAAGCTCACAACAAACTAACCAACTAAAACAACTAAAAACAACTAAAAACAACTAAGGAAGACCTGTTAAAGCGCACAACCTAACCAACTAAAACAACTAAAAACAACTAAGGAAGACCCCAACAGGGTAATACCCGAGTGTCGGATCTCATTTGGATAATAAGGTGCCCTATTTTTCTTTGTTAGTGAGCATCTTAAATATTCACTAAAATTATTGGATAAACTATTTTTTATACTTTAAGTTGCTGGATATATTTTGAAATTTTTCCTTCAATAGTTTGGTATATTCCAAATTGTCTTTGGAAAAAGTACAAAGCATGCAGCCAAAAAAACATAAGTTCACCTTACTTTGTGACACTGACATTGAACACCAATAAACTGTAGTTCAAATTTTTTAATTTTATTCTATTTTATAGTATAATGGTTCCAAAATAATTTTACAAACTCTTTGCACAAATTTAGTTTTAACTAAAACTCTAATTCAATAATGTTTATTTTTAGGCCTGTTTCAAACAAAATCTCTAATAAGATTAAACATAACAAAAGTGAGAATATATAAATTGTATTAAAATTTAAATATAAATATATATTAATTAGTTAATTTAAGTTTGATAATTGAATTTTGGTGATCTCGTAATTTCAGAGATTTGAAAATTTTCGAGAGAGACTGTTCACCCCCTAATAAAGAACGAGTTCAATTTTCTCATTTTGTGGAAATTTTATGTTGGGCCAGCCCAACTGGATTGATCGGGCCTTACTCGTAATGCCCAATCTCTTATAAATAAAAGGAGTGACAAAGGGCTGCAAACAAGGCCTTGTCTTCATTCGAAAGCGAACATATAGGAAAATAAAAGGCTCATTTACATACTTACCGTAATGATTCATAAATATTTGTAAAATTACTAGCTACAAATATTTTATTTGCAAACATACCTAATTGACCATAAAAAATTATATTAATGCTAGATTGTGTAACAGAAGAGAGAGAAAAAGACTTTTCACAAACCCTTTGGATAATCCCTTGACTTACGGGATTCTTCCATGAATGAAAAAAAAATATATATGGTAAACTATATCCAAAATTAAGTTGAAGATAGAATCCTAAAAAACAATATTTCAAATTTGATTAAAAAAAGAATCAATTTATGTTGAATATAAACTGATTTTATACATAAAAATTATGTCTCACGATAATTTTTTTTATCATATACCGTAATATACTTAATATAAACCACATATACAATATATATATATATATATATATATATATATATATATCAATTTATGCTTGTCAAATTCGTTTCAACAAAGAAATCTTATAATATACCAAACATAAACTATGATAAGCATTGAAACAAAAAAAAAAACAAACATTCATTCACAAACTAATTCGTACATATACTAATATACCATACATAAACTAAGATGTACAATAATTGTACACATCCCAGTATATGTACATGTACTGATCATAAAAAAAATTTAATGCACAGACTGATCTGGGAATTTCCTAAAAGAAAAAAAAAAGAGTGATCATATATCGAAATATACTTAATATAAATCATACATATACACAAAAAAAAA